ATCTATTCCAAAAGCTACTGTGGTTCTTATACATTTTTTGATTTACTAAAATGAAAGGACTTGAAATGGTTAAATGTGAAAGTTTACGAATAAATATGTTCCGAATAACAACCACACGGAAAAATCAGTAAATTTTCCTGTAACACAAGCGAATGAGTTGGTATTTGGACAAAATTCAGGACAACAATGTGTTGCAATGAGTTTATACTCTTTGATTTACAATAACAAACAAGATATCAATTCTGCTGATGATCTCGCGTCAATAATGAATATTGGAAATCGGTTGTATTCAAGTCTGTCTCAGTTAACCAGACAATCATTTTTAATGCAGACAGACTTACCCGCACTTTTAAATGTGTTAGAGACTGACTATGAACTTCAATGCAGTGAAAGCTACACTGGTACTATTCATAAAGAAGCTACAATAGAAGGATATCAGTACTGTACCTCCTTGGATAGAGTCTTTCAATCACTTATATCCGAAAATTTCAACAATTTCGTATTGACAATAGGATGTACTGCAGTTGCTATCTATTGTAAAGGTAATGTGGGCATTGAAAAGTCCTTAAATTTCAACCTTTGGCATCTGTAGGAACCTATTCCTATATGGTAATATATTATTTTGATTGCTGTCTAGTACCATAACAATATTCATTACACTCCAGCAGACAAAAATAAATACAAGTTGACTTATTCATGACCGGCAATGACAAAATTGCGTGACGACAGTAACAATGGCAATATGGCAGTCCCCTAAAGATAACTCCAGATGTGCGATATTGAAAGCCCGAGTCCCCTGCCAGTTGCATGTTCTGAATGAAAAACATACTTAAGTACGCATTGGAACGTAAAGTATTATCTATTTCTGTTAGAACGTCAAGGATGACGTTTTCACTCAGTTTTGTTGGGGGGTCCAAATCCGCTGGGACACCTGTCCGGCATTTCAGGAGAGAAATAGGACTGAAATACTCAAAGCCTCTCCAATCTTTGCTTTCCATGAGTCAAGTAAACCTTTTCCTGCAATCTGAGCATCAGGGGCTTTATTTTTTAGGCCTTCCAAAGATGACTTCTTTCTTTGTTCACTGATGTCAAGCTGGCATTCCTTTCTGGGATCAAAATTCAGCCATGCTTCGTTTATCAGTCCTTCACTATCTGCTTGAGATTTTGAAGCCTTGTCTCTTCTTCTAAGTTCAAATCAATAATTTTTCTGGGCTCTACATCTTTACGTGTGGACTGATTCCAACCACATGGAATTGATGTGCAGGCAGGATTGTTGTATCCATTCTGCACTGCATAATCCACTTTATGCAAACAGCAATCATATGGTTACAAGTAGCACTTGTACCTGCTATGCATGTACACCATCCACACACTAAAGAACCATTGTGAAAATTTGTGATATTTACAGAATCTATATTCTATAAGCTTTCCGAGTGATTTATAGTTTAATCCCTGGTTTTAAGGTTGCTCACGTAGGAAGAATTTTCCGGAAGGTACCCTAATTTGTTAGCAGTAACCTTGAGTAAATTCCTTAGCTTTGCACTGCGCATCCTGTACCGCGCTTAAAAATCACGTAATTAGCGGAATGAGCGCGTGCGCATTCCAAGACACGCTATTGTTTGTCAGTCCATGGACCAGTTATGGCTATACTTATTTCGTTTAATTTTGGTTTACAATTTATCCCCTTTAAATTAAAAATTAAAAAAAAAAATTAAAAACTAAGTTTTTTCGTTTGTCTCAATGTTTTATAAGACTTCACCCTGAAAACATCAACAGGGATAGTGGAATAGAAATTCCAGAAGCGTGGATGCCCACGATCAAAAAATACAACAACAAGAGAGCCGTGCAACAGCGGACCGCCGAGGGAGCAAATCACTGAGCGAAACAGCAAGGATCGAAATACACCAATCAGAGCTGTTGGAAAAACAACTAATCACAGCAGAGCATCATGCGCTATAAGATCACGCATGACCAGTCGACCTCATCGCCTGAATAAGACTAGCAGTATGCAGTCGAAACGTCGCAATCTACATTACACGTGACTACATCGTGAGACAAACGAAAAAACTTAGCTTTTATTGTTTTTCACCACGATGAATAACCACAACCTTTTTTTCGAAATTAAAAAAAATTATTCGAAGGGAAAAAAGATAAAGCTAAAAGAATGCACGAAGCCCGTTACTCGAGGATGCAGATTACGATCAGATGCAGAAACAATTCGAGTCTATATCGTTTAAATTTGCGTAATTCTCCCACAAATTAGATATCAAATTGTTCCATACGCTTGAGAATTTCTACCTATCAAGTCTTATATATTTCAATGTTTACATAAAAAACCCTTGCTTCCGGCTGCAGCAAAATGTACCGTGAATCGATGAAGTGACGCGCGTGATTAGTGCCATTACAGGCAAAAATGGGGTAAGCTTTGCCCATCATATCTCCTAAACAAGAACAGTGACCTATCTCTTTTATTGTATTTTTCGGTATTTAAGGAGAACTTGAGGAAAGTTCAAACAAAGAATTGTTTAATAACTTTTTTCTTTGAAACTAAATTTTAGAGATTCTAAAATTGATTAATTATTTTGATCATTGCATAAGTCTGTTCTTATTGCAGCAAGATGTATCCCATAGCTTTGAGTTAGATTAATTTTAGTGGCAGTAAGATTTCAATCGGTTGGTCCTATTCTCCGTAACTAAAAAGAGAAGTTAGTTTTACCGGTAAACAGATCAAACTCTGAATTCTCACAAGTAACACTATTTGAAGACTTTTTATCACTCGTTTTTCCTGACTCGTTGTAAAAATATCTCATTAAAGCGGTGAAAGGTTGGATGGTTGTCACTCGTAAATAATTGATAACAAAATAAACAGAAAACAAACTAGCTTTACATGAAGGTTTACGATGAAAACTACTATGAAAAAGTGAAATCGAAACATTTTTCTTCGTCTTAAATAATAAAAAACGATGAATTGAAAAATCATATACAAATTTCAATGCCTTCAAATTTCGATTCATTTACATCTAAAAGATCGAAGGCAAGTTTAAGGTCAAGTAGACTTAAAGTCCTTGTCATTCGGTAGAAAAGTGACGATTGAGTGATCGATATAGTCCAAAGAGCCCAGTCAGTACGTTTTGAAAAAAATTTAGCCAAGACATTGAAGGTAATTCTTTCAACAGGTTTTGTTTTGTTTTGTTTTGTTTTTTTTTTTTTTTTCGGCAAAGGAGAACGACCAATCTTGTGTAGCTAGTTTTTAGCGGAACATCTGCTTGGCGCCTGACACATGGTAACTCAGCAGTAATGCATGATAGGGATGGGTTGATTGGGACATCTGAAGGACGTAAAGAACTGAACGATAAGCTTCAGGCAGATTATTAGGCATCTTAAGCGGCAGATCAAGAGAAACAATGGGATAAGGAAGTAAACAATCGAAGACAAACGCTTAGAATGTCAAGGATGAACCTTGTCCAGGATGAATCAGTAACTGACAAGAGCGACGAGTGACGGTTTATGTGAGCCACCCAATCCTTGGTCTTGTCAGGAGAGCATTTCCACCCAACTGCATAATTTTGGCATTGTATGATGGGATCACTTTCCACCAATCCGGAACATTTTTCTTTATGTTTCAGTAGGCCTTACCTTATCCGGAAGAAGATATAAAGTCTGTCGAATCATCAGTGCTTTGCATGTCTGAACAACAATTTCCCATTTTCTTGCGCAAAGATAATGTTGAAGTTGGGGTTTTCAGTGCTCAATCAGAGTCTAATGGCAGCAGTCATGATGAAACCTTGCCCAACCAGGAGTTCTTTGGTGTAGCAATCGACCCTTACAAAGACCTTGAAGGGGTCCTGTGTCATCCCCCATGGCAGCATTTGGAAGATGATCCCGAAGCCTCTGTAAGAGAGCAATTAAACATTTACATGTTGGAAGGCCTAGACGCTAAACGAAGAAGAATGGAGGAAATTCCTTAAACATAAATCAAAATCTTCTGTAAGTGTCTGAGACTGAATTCATTTCCAAGCCATTTATGTTCATCACCAAGTTAAGGGAAGGAATGGGATCCTTCTGGGGTGGCGTTAACCCCGAAGAAATCCAAGCTGTGTACAGTATTTTTCCTCTAACCCATACCAACATACTAAAAAACCTCCAGGTAAAAGCTACAGATCAACAAGAAGAAAAAGTCTCAAGGTAGCTCACCCACCATATCAAGAGCAAAGAGCACAAATTGCTGTGTCGATTCCTTCGATTTTGTACGGGAAGCGACGCGGTTCTTCCATAAAGAAAGATGCAAGTTCAGTTGGTGAATATGAGCAGCGCAGCGATGTGACCTAAAGGCGCAAACATGTTTCAACATTAGCCAGGAACTACAGGAAACTAGCCCAGCTAACTGAAAATGTTGATTTTGTTATGTATAATCCACACTTGCGGGAACTAAATGACTAATTCAGTTGCCGTCTCTGAACAATGAAAGGAGTTTCTTGAAAGAATCAAAATATATTTTCATGGGTGTGACTCCAATTTATGCTCAAAGTATTTCAGTCTACTTTTGAAGGTTGAGGACCGTAACCCCCTATTGAATAAAGTCATTTCAAACTGTATGCCATTAACACATGTAAGATGCCAGAGGAAGGCCAGCTGAGTGTCATATTGAGTTACTGAATTTACCTTTTACATCATATCACTTTAAGCTTACAAATAATACCTTATATCATACTCTCGAGATGGTAAAGAAATTCGCTGTGAATAGCGAAAAGATATTCTAAATGCAGTGGATCATCGTCTCAGTATAAACCAACCTCCATTAGATTTTTTAAAAAATTGATCCGCCAATCCGTACCATTCTTTCAAAGAAAAGATCACCAAGCTTCAATTCGTTGATTGGAGACTCAACACCCATACAGAAAAGTCTTCTCTCCAGCCACTGAGTCTGTACCCTCCATCCTAAAAAAACGCTGCATCGCTGTAACGTTGACATTTTCAGTTCCTCTGTCACCACGTAGGGTTCATCGAACGCCACCGACTTCCGTAAGACAGTCTAGGTAGTAACGTGCCACGATTCGAGGATTATTATTTGATGACCCGTCCTCGAGCCATAGTATACGTTAGCTGTAGCCATCTATAGCTCCATGAATACTGAAACAGAAAGACTTAAGTTTTCATAGCCGTCTAAATGCCAAACAAAGTTAGGCCCTTTGTCAAAGTATGGCCTTCTTTTTAACCGGTGCCGTGATCGCCTCTCAAATGTCGAACTGCCACTTGACTCTAATAATGATTTCCGCTCAGGTTGTCGAAACGTCAATCACCAGTACCGACAACAGTCCTTCTCAGGACTACACTCACCCGGACGATCAAAATACACTATTATATGTCTCTCTGCTAATCACCAAGCCATAGTCAACTCGAAGTCTTTGATGCATCTGCCGATATCCGATCAAACCACTGAATCCTTCGAGCTCTTTCTCGATCACAGCAACGATCACTTGCTTGCGTCTGTAACGTGTATCAGAAGAAGAAAGCGTAGGATATCTAAATAGTACAATCCAAGACTGAAGTACCTCTCAATAGGACAATTGCGGTCAGAATTCGTCGATGTTACAGGTAGGTACGAAGGCATCATGCCCTCTCCACTTGAAAGCCATAAAATGAAACAGAAAAGAGACAAACCAACCTTGATTGTTGCGGCCATCTTGTTCAAATGAGTCCGCATTTCGTTCAGCAGTGAAGTACATCATTGACAAATAACTTGCGTTTTGGAGGAAAAATTTGGGTTTTAACAGAAAGTCAAACTTATAACAAAACCTTAGGTTTTAGGGAAAAAAAACCTGAGTTTTGGTTTTAAAAAAAAACCTGAGTTTAGGAAAAAAATCTGGGGTTTTTGTGGTAAAAAAAACTGGGTTTTTGAAAAAAATTTGAGTTTTGAAAAAAAAAGATGGTTTTGGAAAAAAAAACCGGAACAAAAAAAATTATCGAAAACAACAATTATAACTCAAAATAAACAATTGGGTTCTGTTGACCCGCACAGGCCACAGTATGGTTTCAATTAGAAAAAAAATAATATCTCGGAGCTTAATGGTTTTTGAAGAAGTTTCCTTCTTATTTGCTAAGTATGTTGAAGAGTGACTAAACAGAAATACTGTATATTTTATCTGCGCAATAGTTGCACAACTGACTTCGTGTATCCCCCTGGTTGGATTGATTTGAGTCGCATGAACCCGTATAGTAGATTACAGTTAAAACTGCTTTCAACTATTTTCACCATGTATCTGTGCTTACTATAATAATAAAAAATAACAAAAATAATGGAGGGATGAATTATTAAAAGTAAAACCTTCAAACGCTAAGAATAGCTTTCTTAAGATGCGCACACTGGGCCATTTGGTATGTGTAGTTGTTTCTCTTTTTTCCCACTTGTTAAATGGAAGCTAAGTTAGTTTAGCTGACTGGTGACTGGGCTTTGCGGTATTTCAAAATGACGAGTCGGAATTCAAAGCTATCGAAATTTTGAATAGCATTCTTAAACTGAAATTTATTAAATATCACTTGTAATTTAGGCGAAATTAAGACATTTACCAGATGGTCCGTCTCCCAGGAGAAGGCAGCTCTTTGTTTAGTTAGCTAACTCCTTTCGGGGTGCTATTGATTTGCCCACACTCCCTGTTGTTCCAAGCAGATTGACGCAGGAAGTGAATTGTGCCATATAATTGCAGAATTCCTCAAACAAATCGCATAATGAGGTAGTTCTTTCCTTAATTTAGTCAGCCATCGTTTCGATATTGAACCCTAGCAAGCTCAACAATTTGTTTTAGAATATCACTTTGTTGCCAATTGTTGAAGACCAAACTACTTGCAAATAGTCTTACACACTTTGAAAAGCTAAACTTCATTGGGCGCGTTAACTCTTCATCATGTATTCTGAATTCAAGCGCCATCTCATTTTGCTTTTCTTGTCATCGATCTTCACTGCAGCCCAATGTTCCTCGGGTAAGTATTTTTATTATTTACTTCTGCTATTCAAGGTTTCTCCGTTACGCTACTGAAAGATAATGTACGTTGCAATCTAAGTGGGCATAACAACAGTTTAGGAAAAACTTTTAGAATGACACTTTTTTGCGTTTGCAAATAATTCTTATTTTTCAACCCAATTATTCCGTTTAATAAAAAGAAATTTGTATCGCCTACAGTCGGTTGAAGTCTTGTTAAACGTTAGATTTACCTTTAATACACTAAGTTCAAACGAAAGCTTTATAAAAGGGTATGTTTGGAGGAGATTTGCCTCATTCCAAGCATTTTACATAAGGCACCTGCTTGGAAACTACCTGCACTAGTTAATTTTGATGTGTCTCTTCCTCGTTCTCGTTTTAAGACCGACAGGGGTGAAATTACTATTTCTTTTTTTTAAATTGAGTCTCCGATCACTTTTTGTCAAATTTTGTATCAGTTAGAACTCGCTCACTAAGCTTCGCACTCAACCCATAAAGATGCAAATTTGTTACAGGTTTAAAGCGCGCGTAATAACGAATTAAGCACTTTCTGGACATACTTTTCACAAAAACCCCTTAAGGCTGTTTACTTTGGACTGTATTTATTAAGATATTTAGCTATCGGCACTGGAACTATTCAGTTGAGCGACAGAGAGTAACTTTCTAACTCGCAAAACGCAGGCAGGTAAATTTAAATTAAATCGATAAGCACAGTAAAATGTAAATAAGATCCTTTATGAATCGAGTGAAATATCACTGCATCGTGGAGGTAATTCGCCCGGAGGCGGTTTGTTTTTTCGTACCTTTGCCATGAAAGGATTAAAAAAATGTAAAAATGATAATAAGAAGGACGACGTAAACTAGAAAATCATCATTACTGTTGCAGTTGCATAACAGTTCCAGTCAAAAACCCCGTACCTTCCAGAAGCATGAAAGACATTTTTTAGTTCCGAAAGTCAGTGATACTGATGCAAAATTTCCGACTGCCGGGAATAAGTAAACCATAAGTAATAATAAGTAGCCGTTTCTGTACTGATGAAAGCAGTCGTAGGAATATTTCGGCTCTATAGTGGCTGATAAAATATGGCTTTACGAAATATTTTAGAATAATAAAATATAGCTTTACGAAATATGAAAGACATTTTTCAGTTGTAAAAGTCAGTGATACTGATGCAAAATTTCCGACTGCGTGTATTAAGTAAACCATAAGTAATAAAAAAAGTAACCGTTTCTGTACTGATGAGAGCAAGGAATATTTCAGCTTTATAGTGGCTAATAAAACTATAGCTTTACGAAATATTTTCTCTCTTCCAACTGGATCATAAATAGTCATTTTTCGGATTTAAAACTAACATATGTCATCAGAATTCTCTCAAGATTAAACTTACAATTATTTAAAGCTCGAGCAGCTTATTGCAAGCAATTGTTTCAGTACATTGTTTTGTACCACCCGACTTAAGTTATCCTAAGGATATCAACGACTAAATTGTCAAATATTTGATGATCGCGTGTTACTTACCTAAAAAACAAAGTTTGTTGCTTTCAAAGATTATAATCTTTGTTTCTACCTTACATGCTTTCATGCTGTTTTTGAAGCCTGAGCCACATACAAGTAGCAACGTTGTGACGAATGTCAGGCGCGTTTGGGTCTTAGGAAACTGGTTGGAAAATATGACTATCACCACACTTCTCGTAGTCTTAACCCTATCTTTTCATCGGTGTTTGATGATTGAAGACTAACTGCTGAAACAGCTTATGCCAAATGATCAATTCAGAACATCTTGAAAATTTAGACTTCGGGTTTTATTAAAAATTTTCAACAGATACATACATCTCTAATCCGTTGGCATTTAATCCGCCAATGCTTTGTTATTTATTACTATTTATTATCAATCTCACCGTCCTACCTTAACAAAGTTTGCAATAAAGTTCGGATATAACTCTCTACACTACTTTCGTGCTCTAGCCGCTTTCTGCGTACTTTACAACAGAACACAACTCAGTCAAGACTTCTCTTCTTTTTATGTTAAGTTTTCAAAGCTTCTAGAGGTAGGTAGACAAAAATTAAAAAAAAGAAATTACACACGATTCATGCACTTAATTTTTCATGATAATTTTTCCTAGACCTAGAACTTTCATTTCATTTGAAGCAGAAACATCAACGTGTACTGGGTTATCGCTTAAGTTCTCTAAAATTTTCTTCTACGAGAACGAACTTCACACTGGATACGTAAGTGACACTAGATATCCTGCACATACTTCAATAATCTTAAATTGCCACACCCTGAATACTGATTGTGATGATCAACAATGTCCAAAGAGTCGTGGGAGTAAATAGAGACAGACCAAGGAAACATCTTTTCCCAATTTATTACCGAAATAAACATTAACGATCTCTCTTGTTCTATAATAACATGATGCTTTAGATAGTGCTGATTCTCGCAGTTTGCAGGATGCATGTCTCAGATAAACGGTAGTTCATTGATGGAGTATCGGAGCGCGGTAACGAAAGGTTTGAAGTTCCATTCTAAATGAGCATTCAGAATGATTTCCTTTTGTCCCACGCTAGTGCCTAAAACATATAAACAAGCGATAAGTTAAATAGTTCTAAGGCCTGAAAACGTTCAGGGAATCCTGCTTATTGACGAACAAAGGCTTCAATCTGTAGCCTTTATTTTTGGGTATAATTTCAGCAAGACGTCTTAGTCCACCGAAATTGAACTAACAAAAAGTTATTTATGATTGATGGCTAAAAGTTATTAATGACTAAAACTGTAAATCCTCACTGTTTATTCTTCAGACATAAACGCCTTGGAAGGAGATTGGTTTCCGTATGAAAAGACACTGAAACAGCGTCTGTTTTTAAAAGATGAGCTCCATCATCTGAACGTAACTCAAGTTGAAAAACTGACTGTGTTCGACCTGTTAGATTGCACAGTTGAATGTTTAAGAAATGCTTTGTGTCTTTCAATAAACATGGCGGCCTTCAAAGGAGCAGAGGGGAAGCTTTGGTGTGAATTGCTGTCTTCTGATAAGTACAGAGACACTAGGAACTACAAAGAAAACATGAGTTCGCATCATTTCTCTATTCTGGTAATAGCTTTTTCAAAGTGTTTTTTTCGAATTTGAACGTTAACAGATAGAGCTCGTTTTTGATTTAGTGTCGTTCTTGCAGTGCTGTTCGGCTTCATTTATCAAACTTCTGTTCAAACATTTCCCGGTTTATAAAAACAACATGTTTCTTTTCTTATTTTAGTCTCCTTGTTCGTCCTGGCCATGTCAAAACGGAGGAATTTGCGTCCCGAATTACAAATACTACTCTTACCAATGTCTGTGTGAACCAGGTTTCATGGGAGAATTTTGTGAGAAAGGTAATATGCCATTATTGTTCGACCTATTCCTGATAATCTGTCGCTAAAACTTTGTTCTGGAACAACTATTCATTTCATCATCATGTGATTCTCTTTTCCTTGTGTCCTGTGTTTAGACTGTATAAAATGAACACCAGCTTTATGTAGTTATTAGTAAATAAGTATTACAGTATTTCTTTGAGTTCGCCAAGTGGTGAGGAATCAGCAAAAAAATAGTGTAAGAGGACTTGATTGAAAAAGGTGACTCTCTGTTTAAATCTTGGCTGAGCCCTCAGTGAATGTGACAATTTGATTAAGGCTTGAAAAGCTGGTACATTTCCTGCACAGAAAAGTGAACACAACAAATACACAAAACGCATACAACTGCGAGGAAATTAGGCTTTAGATATGCTAAATAAAAAAAATTATTTCATTTCTATCTCGTAGCTATTACGTCTTGCAAGGCGCTCTATGACTTCAAAAGGTAAGTTATAGGCCATACTGAAAGAATTAATGTAGTAAACACAGCGGCCAACCATTGCGCACGCACGAGAGTTTGAAAACGTTAGGAAGGATGTCCGAACGCGTGTCTCGTGTTACCGGTAAGGAACAGAAGATTGAATTCCTAACTCTTCCAATGCGTAAGACAACTTAAAAGAGGACTTTGGAGAAACATTAAATCTTGGCTTTATTTTGATGTGAGATATCTCAACTGTTTTAAAGCGGACGCTTCGTTTCGGTGATAAAGGAAAATGAGAGAACCTTTCTTCTACCCTTGCTGCATGGTCCACTGTCCGCTATCAACATTGACTTGTGATCGTCACAAATATCCTGTGTGGCTCTGGTTCTTTCTTTTCTCACGCATTTCCCTCGGTGTTTACCGGCAACTCCACCATGAGAAAAAAAAAAATAACTACAGCTAGCGCGGACAAATTTACGGACAAATTTACGGACAACTTCATCGCCCCGCCGTGAAAAGTGTAAATAAAAAGGACGAGAGTGTAAACTAACACAGTGAGTGAAGTCCAGAACAACAATATGTAGAAGTCTCGGCCTTAGAAACTTCGAACTTTCCTCAGAAACTGCGAAACACTACGCCTTACTTTGATTCTCCTTGTTTACAATATCAAATTATCTACCATGGTGCGCATGTGCAATAATTTTACCGCTGTGTTAATGTAGAATGAATTCATCTGCCTGCCTTTACCCTACCTTCCTTGGCTGCCTCTCCTCAAGTTTTCTTGGAGAGAAAGATTGGATTTATTTCTATCGATGGCATGAGGGAAGGAGTAAGACGTTATATGCTCATACAATCCAGCAAATATCTTATTGTTTAAAAGCAGGCGTACCAATCGATTGATGATAATCAAGATAACCCATAATATTTCGCCTCCTCTGATTGATTTATTGGAAATAGGTCTAATGTCAGTGAACTGGTTACCCTCCACCTGGACTCCAAACCAGTCTCTGTTCTTTGTCACATGAGAGATTTTGGATGTGGAAATGGAGGATGGACGCCGGTCATGAAGATTGACGGCACAAAGGTAAGATTAGTGTTGATTTTGTCAGCAGGGAAGATCGTTTATTGAAAAAAGAGTGCAGCGTGATTCGGCCAATTAAGTTAAATCGGATAATGTATTTCAAACCGACAACCGTTGAAATTCTTTTGGTGAAACTGAATGGCCTACCGACTTTGAACTTCTTTCGTTTTAACAGAACACCTTTCATTATAACAACCCGTACTGGAGCAATAAAATTGAATACAACCTCCCCGGAGGGGAGTCTGAGTTTGATTCGGAGGAGACAAAGTTACCGACCTACTGGAATACATCCTTCTCCAAGATCTGCCTCGGTATGAAGATCGGACAACAGCTCAGGTTCACTGTAATTGACAGAAAGGCCGACTCTCTGTACTCACTGATCGCTGATGGTCAATACCGCGCCATCTCACTTGGTCGAGAAACGTGGAAGAGTCTGATTGGTTCAGATGCCTCCCTACAGTTAAATTGTAACAGGGAAGGATTCAATACTGCTGATGTTAATCGTTTTGACGTTTTCCATTCTGAAGCAAGAATTGGTATCATTGCTAACCAGGAGAATGATTGTAGGAGCTGTGACTCCAGGATCGGGTTCGGCACAAGGGGGCATTTTGAAGACGCCGTGACGTGTGGTAATGTGGCACATATAGGAGGAGATAATGGGGACAGGCGCACTCCAGGCATGGGGTACATCCTGGTGCAGTAACTCCGATACACTACATACATCTATACACTCAGTAGCATAGAGAGATACTGTTAATAACGTCGCACAGGGCTTTTCAGTCACTACTTAAATGACTAACTAACAATAACGTTTAAATATATCACAAAAGACGTACTGTTGACAAAAACTTGTTTATTCTTTAGGTGTTTAAAAACTTTTCGCCTTTAATTGTCATCTAAGTTCTATAAATATATGTTCATTCACCAATAGCTGTTTTAAACCGCGGTATTTTTAGGGTATACAAGCACTATTGGAATGGTAAATTTCTTTTTGTCAACGCTTCCAATGTAGGTGTATGGTGTAAATATTCAGAGTTTGAATGGAATGGAATTTCCTAATTCCACCAAACTGGTTAAAAGCGATCTTTTCGCAAGTCTTGTTCGCTTGATTGCTTCACTTTACTTCAACAAACGGACAACAGGTGACAATCCCCAACGGTCGACTCCTTTTTGTTTATTTGATCTTCTGCAAGCGTAAAACCTCTCCGCGCTATTCTGTAAGTTCGGCAAGGTTTATTTGCTGTATGAAAATCTATATGTTTGAGTTATTTACCACACCACAGCGGACGGACTTGCAAAGAAGAAAAAAATCCAAGAGTAAAGAAAAAATTCTTACCAGCTCTCAATATGAAAATACTTCATAGTCATCAACAACATTCGATATCTTATTTACCTTCGAATATTGAACTGCTGGTAAACAATTTTTTACTTGATAACCATTGTAAACATCACTTGTCTGGCTCAAAATGATAAAAAAAAGTATTAACTTAACATGCTGGTCATTGAAGAGAAAATTTGATTTAGGCATAAAATTCTGTCGTTAATTAAGAAGGAAAAAGAAAGAATGCGACTGAGAACGACTGCGAAGCCTTAAAAGCTGTCAAGGATAAAATAACATGGAAATTAATTAATTCAAAGAGTTAGCAATAATAATGTATGTCATTTTTCATGACAATAAACAACTAGTTTCTTGTCATGTGCAACCAAAAGCTGGGGGCGGTACTCTTTGTAAAACAAATTGTTCTCCTTTTGCGAACAGTTAATAAAACTAAGAAATCGATCAAAACACGAGGCGTAAGTACTGCAATAAGAACTGAAAATTGACTATTACGTCATATCCCTGGAAGCCTCACTCTTAACAAATAACCAAGATAGTTCCTCCCGTAAATCATCGATCATATCGGCTAATTTCCGTTTGATCTTCATAATATTAGTGTCAAGCAACTGTTTTTCGGGTAAGATTGCATGTCTTCCTTTCCGCGATAATGTATATCTTTGTTTCTTATTTCAACACTTTTTGCAAATTTAAATCCTCGAAGACTAACCTAATCTCACAATTATAGTGGGTCTTTAACACTATTGGCAATCTTTCCCACGGTGTTTTCTTTTCGGTTGACCTCTTTTTCAGACGTAGAAGGCCTATGAATATTACGGGTGCAGTTGCTGGAAACCCTAGATTCCATCACCTAAATACTGTATTGTGTTCAACTGTTTTCCAGATAACAATCGTGCGATCGTATTGAGCCGCAATATGTTTGGCATGTTGACACTTTTAAAGTATGCGCTATGTTCGTACCCAAATTTCGCGCGGTCAAAAAACCCTACGGAACTTCCTTAAATGAGATGCGAAAACAAAAATTCTTCGGAGGCCAAAAAAATCGACTTTTGTTTTTACGCGGGAAACCTCTGCTTAAATGAGTTAATAGGGTGTGTAAAATTTTGGGGTTTCATGAAAATTGGTCAGAATTTTCCTCAGATATTAACTCACAAAGGTGTGCGAGGCTCCTACGTGACGTCCCGGAGCGTGACAACAACTGAAATATTTAACGTTGTTCAACTTTAGATATATTTTCTCAGGAACCAGTGGGATTAAGGAGGAAGCCTTACAACCTTTGTTAGCCTATTATCTACTGAGTGATACTGTCCAGTCCGTCCAGTGGAGGTCGGCGGTTACACGGAGACTGGTAATTAAGTAAAGCATTTACAGAATCTATATTACATAAGCCTTCTAGTGATTTCCAGTTTAATCCATGGTTTCTTTTAAGGTTGCGCACGTAAAATTAATTTTCCGGAAGGTACCCTAATTTGATGACAGTAACCTTGAGGTAGCTCCTCAGTTTCGCACTGCGCATCCTGTACTGCGCATGAAAATGACGTAATCAGTGGAATGAGCGCGCGCGCATTCTGAGAACTCGCTATTGTTTTTCAATCTATTTTTATTTTGCTTAATTTTAGTTTACAATTTATCCCCTTTAAATAAAGGAAATTTTAAAAAAATTCGAAGGGAAAAATGATAAAGCTTAAAGCGTGCACAAAGTGCGTTACTCGAGGATGCAAATTATGCCCTTGAAAGGAACGAGTCGAAGAACGCTTTAGTCTCTGTAATTTAAATTTGCGTGATTTTCCCATACCCTCGATCCATACCTATCAAGTTTTAGTCAATGTTTACTTTAAAAAATCCCATTCTTCGTAACTTGAAAGAGTTGTTAATTTTATTGGTGAACAGATTAAACTCCGAATTCCTACAAGTGACACTGTTTGAAAACTTTTTATCACTCGTTTTTCCTGACTCGTTGTAAAAATATCTCATGAAAGCAGTGAAAAGTTGGATAGTTGTCACTAGTAAATAATTGATAACAAAATAAACAGAAAAACAATCTAGCTTTGCATGAAAGGCAGAAAAATATCCTAAATTTTTAATAAAGAACCCCTATTAAAACTCTTTAGCTTTTTAGGATCGACGAAAGAACAGGAACAAATCGGATAAGTCAGAGGGGGACTAAATTAGCCAAACAGACGGGAAGGAACGGTATCGAAATGAAGTTTCGTTCGAAGCAGGTGTTCAAAGGAAGCGCGTGGAAATGTGACAAATATTGTCCTCGGTACACAATGCTAAAAGGTTATGGCGATAAACTTATCGTATCAAAAAAGCGCTGCAAGGTTTCAGAGCACCGAACTTTCTTTTACATAAACCAGTGCAATTGAATGCACTGACTCGTGCAAGTTGTGTAGGCACAGGTGTAGCTGGGAATCGACAAATATATTTGGTCCCCTTCATTGCCAAGCAGTTTTGGATTAAAAAAATCCCTTCGAATAACAAGAAGAAAATAACAAAAATATTTACTTCAAGAAAAGTGGGCCGCGGAGAAGATCGGAGACAAGAAAATTAAATTGAGATGACCCTTTAAATCAGCAAACATAACGGATGGCTGACGCACAGGGGGTAACGTTTGCACCTGGAAAAAAAAGAAAAAGCTTGAAATGATTATTACAAAAACTACTATAAATAGGTGAAATCAAAACATTGCAAGTCGTCTTAAATATTAAGAAACGGTGAATTGAAAAATAATGTACAAATTTCAATGCCCACAAATTTCGATTCATTCACATCTAAAAGATCGACGGCAAGTTTAAGGTCAAGTAGACCTAAAGTCCTTGTCATTCGGTAGAAAAGTGACGATTGAGTGATCGATAAATACCAAAGAGCACAGTTAGCACTTTTTGAAAAAATTTAGCCAAGACACCGAGGATAATTTTTTTCAACTGGTTTTGTTTTGTTTTCTTTTCACCTGTTAGCTGTTCGCCTGTATCATTTAATAAGTATACCTAGAGGGTTTACCACTTAGTCATTCTAGTACAAAATATTCATTGGAAATACAATGAAAGGTTGTGTCTTTGAAAAGAAGAAAAAAAAAACAAAAATCAGAACGAGATGGGAATTGAGAATGACATTTCACAAAGTGAAGAAAGTTGTTTTTGTTACCTACGCTGTGATCAAAAACAGGTGCTGAATGGACGTCACATTTTGAAAATACAGCCTTTATCCTCCACAAAAATTTCTGAAATAGATCTATTCAGATGCACTTATTACAAGTTAATCAATTAAACTATGCAAGTTTTCATCTTTGAACTAAAAATTACCACACGTGCTGACTTATTTTTATTGATTTCGCAATCTTTCATGGAAATAAATGACATTTTCTTGTGAAGTGAGACAATGGAAATGGCTGAATGCGTGCGTGTTGCGAAATTTGTTCCAAACATTTAACTTCCTATCTCTGTATGTTTTTTCTCATCACTCTTCCGTGCTGACCCATTCGAGAGCTTGCTGAAGTTTTGAGGTCTAACCTCTATTTAAGGAAAAGAGACTGGTGAATACCATAGCTAGTACTTGAAGCCTTGCAAACTTTTGTATTCAAAATACCTTTTTGTATTTTAAATACCTCTCTAACGCCATGCTGTGAGAGAATAAGATCCCTTGACACTAGCTTTACCTCTTACAAATCTCTCCTATGTTGTTAGCAAAAGTGTTGCTTTTTTTGCCTTTGGTAGCAGCTCGACTATAGCGTTTGCAATCTGCCAGTGGTAAAATTAGCATATCAATTTTATTACAATATTTACAGGTATACAGTAAGGTAACAGAAAAAAAAACCTACGCAGTATCGAGTTTTAATAATGAAAATGTTTCCCAACAGAAAAGTTGTTTGCAGTTAGCATGGAAATAGAGAAAAATATAATGCGCTGGCGCATGAAATCAGCAACCATGATAAATTCCCAACGCGCGCGGCAAAGATTCGCTTCTTGTACTGATTAAAAGTCAACTTCAGACTGCCTCCTTCTAATAACATATTTCCATGCGTGGTTTCAATCAGCAAAAAAACAAAATATTCAGGGCTTCATGGTTTTTACAGAAGTTTCTACAAAAAACAGAAATACAATACATTTTATCGGCGCAATAGTTGCACAATAGACTTGTGTATCCCTCTGGTTGGATTAATTCGAGTTGCATGAACTCGTATAGTAAATTGCAGTTAAAACTGCTTTCAACTATTTTCACCATGCATCTGTGCTTACTATGATTATTAAAATAGCAAAAATAACAGAGGGACGAATCATTAAAAGTAAAACCTTCCAACTCTAAGAGTAACTTTCTTAAGATGCGCACACTGAGCCATTTGGTATGTGTAGTTATTTCTCTTTTTT